TCCCTTCATCCACAGAACCAGTAATCTCATCATAAAAGGCGATTAGATTAGTCAGGCATGACCTTCCCTTGGTGAATCCATGCTGGCTGTTCCTGATCACTTTCCTCTCATGCAAGTGCATCAGGACTGATTCTTTGAGGACCTGCTCCATGATTTTTCCAGGGACTGAGGTGAGGCTGACTGGCCTGTAGTTCCCAGGATCCTCCTTCTTTCCTATAACGTGTGTAAATATCTTTTGATTAACGATCTGTCCCACCTTGTATTTAGCTGTAACACTCTGGTTACCTTCTCCAGATTTGAGGAAGAGCTCTGTGCAGCTCGAAAGCCTGTCCCTTCCACCCACAGAAGCTGGGCCAATAAAAAGATATTAACTCACCCCCCTTATCTGTCTCATATCCTGGGACCAACACAGCTACAGCATCACAAACGATATTTGTGTCATGACTTTTTTTGATAAAATATGATCTATGCAAAGAGAGAGAAATCCAGAATTGATGACTTCAGAAGGAATTTTGCCTGAGTAAGGACTGCAAGAACTTGTGAACAGCACAGCCAATAAGCCTAGGAAACAAAATGTCATACAACATAATCCCAAACATATTTCCATTGACAATCCAACATACCAATATTCCATCAGCTGTATACCAAATTAAATTAATTGTCAAGTAAAATGCATTACAACCTTAAGTTTGGTCTTCGTAATACTGTATCATGTTATTTGAAAAGGGAGGATTATTTTTCTTCTTACCAAATTTAATTTACTCAGTTTTTTAATCAAAATGTGTGGTACTTAACGTGACCTTTTTTCAGTTTTTTGGCAACCGTGAGTATCGGATGATGGAAGCCTGTTTGTCATTCTCTTTTTCTTCTTCAGTATATGATCATCACCAATAAAATCTCATCAGCAATACTGTGGCTTTTCTGTTACCTCTTTACTTTTATATGCAGTATATCAGGCTGTGCTGAGGCATACTTTATTACAACTTCCCTAAGAGCTGCATTGTCATAACTGATTATTTGCCCCCCCCGCCCCCCCAAAAAAATCATGTGGAAATTCTTTTATCTGATGACTGACTGTAAAGAACAGTGAGTTAGCGGTTATCAATTTCCCTTTCCCATAAAACAGTCATTTCAGTGCTGTAATGTTGGTCTGTTCAGATGTAATCATTCTGCAGTGCATGCAGTATAGGTGTTATGTGATTTTTCATATTTTAATAAAAATAGACATTTTATAACAATGAAGCTGAAAAATAATTTAGTAAGTGAATGGGCAAGTGCAGGATTTAGAAAAGTTAGAAGTTGTGTGTTTTATTTCTTGAGACCTTAATTAATTCATTAGGTTTTAGGTCGTTGCTGGATTCACTGAGAGTAGCTGTTCTAGATCAGAATTGACTGATGTCACTCCGTATTGCTGTCTGCACATCAGTCTGCTGCCCAGTGGATTGTCTTCAAATATTTGTGAGGAAAGGAAAGACATCAGGTTGCATTTATAGTGAAGAAGGCATTTACTTGTGTCAAGGTTCCTTCCCCACTCTGAACTCTAGGGTACAGATGTGGGGACCTGCATGAAAACCTCCTAAGCTTACTTTTACCAGCTTAGGTTAAAACTTCCCCAAGGTACAAATTATTTTACCCTTTGCCCTTGGATTTCCACTGCCACCACCAAACTTTATCTGGGTTCCTAAAAAAAATGGAGTTTGGACATATCTTTCCCCCCAAAATCCTCCCAACCCTTGCACCCCACTTCCTGGGGAAGGTTTGGTAAAAATCCTCACCAATTTGCATAGGTGACCACAGACCCAAACTCTTGGATCTTAGAACAGTGAAAAAGCATTCAGTTTCCTTACAAGAAGACTTTTAATAGAAGTAAAAAAAATCATCTCTGTAAAATCAGGATGGTAAATACCTTACAGGGTAATTAGATTAAAAACATAGAGAATCCCTCTAGGCAAAACCTTAAATTACAAAAAAGACACACAGACAGGAATATTCATTCTATTCAGCACAGCTATTTTCTCAGCCAATTAAAGAAATCATAATCTAACACATACCTAGCTAGATTACTTACTAAGTTCTAAGACTCCATTCCTGTTCTGTCCCCGGCAAAAGCATCATACAGACAGACACAGACCCTTTTTTTTTTTTTGATCCCTCCTCCCAGCTTTTGAAAGTATCTTGTCTCTTCATTGGTCATTTTGGTCAGATGCCAGCGAGGTTACCTTTAGCTTCTTAACCCTTTACAGATGAGAGGATTTTTCCTCTGGCCAGGAGGAATTTTAAAGGGGTTTACCCTTCCCTTTATATTATGACAACTTGTCTAAATTTGATAGCTTCAGAGATATCTATGATATTTAATTGTTCCAGACCCCTTATTTATGTTCGACTTAGAACATTACCATTTTGTAATTTTCACCATAGAAAAGCTCTGGCTGGCTAGTAGATACATCCAGAAAATGTCATGGTTGATTAAATCAGAGCCTAGTGTTTTCACTCAGTATTACTCTTAATATTTTTCTTTAGATTTCCTGCCCCATGAGCCAGATGTCTGAAAATATTTGACTGGAACATTGTAAAAGTTGATTCCTTATCCACAAATAACAATGAAATATAGTCACAAAACCTGCTTTGTGACTGCTTGTTGAAAGAGGACTTAGTTTAAAAATGTGTGTTCCAGTGACCCACAAAGGGAACATTTATTCGTGTTAATTTGTTGGATGTAGGCTGGATCTACAAATATGATAACTACAAATGTAACTCTTTTAACGAAACAGAAGCAGATCATAATGCAAATATAATTTATCTTAATCTTAATTATACTTAATACTTAATCATAGCTATGGGAAAGTAGAGAATACATCAGATGCAGTGAATTCCTTGTGTAAATTGGTTTTAATTTCCGATTTTGCTAAGATTAAAAAAAAAAAAGCAGCTATGGGAGTCTGGGGAAGCCAGGTGTATTGTGCACCAAATGCAAATGTTTTATGTTATTGATGCTTCACAATGAGTTTTCGGTTTGACTTTCAGCAGGGCCGAATACTCAAAGCTCTCATGGGGTTCAGTGAGATGTGAGGGTGTTGAGCACCTTCCAAGATCAGGCCATTAATGTATATTCCATGTGTCTTTTAATGTACATTCTGTGGGGCTTTGTTTCTATTTCACATGCATTACATTGGTGGTTGAATTCAAATGTTTTTCATGATGGCGATAGTGTGATATTTTCTACCATACTCCGTGGAGGTGAAATTGGAATGGGAGGGCTATAATCTCCCCAAATCTAAGTTTTCTCTCTAGATCAGTGGTTTTTGGGCATTTCACCATCAGCTCATACTTTTATCAAAGCTTATGAGCTCAGAACCTTTTTTCCCAGTTTGCTGAAGACTATGTTCATTTATATCACCCATTAATGAATTAGGAGAACATTAAAGCTTGTACAGCAATCATAGTTGTTTTCTGGACAGGTTTCACTGAGATGGAAAAGCTAAGCTCTGTGTGCAGAGTTTATCCAGGTACAGAGGGATTGACCCAGTCTGAAACCTGAAAGCACCCAGAGTGTCCCATGAGGAGACTGGGCCTAACGGGGGTAAAGGTTGAGGGGGATAGCTCTATGGTTCCTGTCCCCCTAGCCTTTTACCCCTTCACCCTCTGCCATCTTATTCTATCCCTATCACCTCCTCATCATTAAAGTCTGAGGCAGCTACTTTCTGTCACCCCTCCTCAGTTTTTTCTGCCCAGCAACTCCACACTGACTGGACACCAGTGGAGGGGGCAGAAGAGGAAAGCTCGTCTCCCTGTCCTGTCCTCAGTTGCATCACAGCTACCCGAGTGGTAAGGAATAGTCACTGCAGAGGAAACTATGCTCATTCCCTGCTGGAGGCGTGAGAAAAAGTGTTTGGTTGGATCTGGAGAAACAGACTGGGAATCAAAACTATGAAAATGCACATGGTTTTTAAAGATGGTAAATAAAAAAGTAAGACAAGAATGTGGGGGGTTTATCCAGATGCTGTCTAAACTCCGCAGGTTGAGAGAGTTGGCTGTAGTCTAGATGACACTTGAAAGAGATTACAGGCGGGGCAGGAGGGAGAAAATTAAAAGTAAGAAACTGCCAATGGTGGTTTTAATGCTGAGCTAATTGTTTTGTCCTTGAGACTGAAATTCTAAGTCTGTTAGTTTTAAGAGCTGCGTGAGTAGTACTGAAAAAGAGACAATCCTTTGACCACCCCCCAACCCCTCCAAAAAGACAGAGCCCTAAATCATGTCATGCTTGCTGGTTTGAGAAGGGATTAATAACCTCCGTAAGGCTTGGTATTGTTCATCCTAAAGTGCATTCATACTCTCTAGTTACTATATAAAAACTGGCACTTTCTTACATAATAGACAACACTGTGTATAATTAAAGGAATATTTCCTTGCTTTTGATGACAAAAATAAGTTGTTTTTAACATTTTTTTTAATTGAAGAGGCAACATAAATTTGGGAGAGGGAGCTGGATTCTATTCTATCCACTCACCGTCAATAAACTATAACTAAAATTACGGGACCAAACCTTGCTCTCTCTGTTGCAACTGTGCAATTCCACTGAAGATAATGGGGCTGTACAGGTACAACTGAGGCTTAAGTACGAAGACACCTTTGCAAAGGAGATTGCAATGGTGTAACCAATTACGGAATTTGTCTTTCAGAATCTGGTACTGATAATGATGGACCGAAAAGCAGAGGGGGAACGGTTTGAGTCTCAGCTCCCACTTGAGGATGTATGGATGGCTGTTAGAAAATGTATTCAATTAGCAAATTTGATATGGAATCATTGAGGCACAATAAACATAAAACCCTACAATTACATTTTAGAGTCATCTTTCAGCTTCCAACTGCACTTTAATCTCCAATACAAAACAAAGAACTGTGTAAAATTTTTGAGAGTAAGAACAAAAAATTGAGACTTGTTCAGAGTCTTGCACACCCCCCTCCCACCTGGAAACTTACATTTCTTCTTTCTTTTGTAGCCAATGGTCTAGACAAACCGTATTTGCGGAGTTCTGGACAGTTGAACTTGGAGAACAGAAAGGAAGATGGTGAGAGTACGGCACCTGCTCCTCCCCAGAAGCCACTGCAGTGTCACTGCAATCACCACTGTCCAGAGGACTCAGTCGACAGCACCTGCAGGTTGATGGGACAACTTGTATTTCAGATATTTTGGGGGGAAGGTTATGTACAATAATCAACATTTTAAAACTTGGGTGCCTCAAGTTAGGCACCCCAATCTGTTTAGGCACCTTTAATACCTTGGATCAGTGTACAATTAAATGGGAGTGGTGGGCACTCTATAAATCAGCCCATTTTTATATAGATGCCTAAAGATAACTTGATGCATTCAGGTTTGAAATTTTAGGCCAATACTTATCGTAATAATTTGCATATGAGACACAGTTGAATTATGAATAGGTTATCAAAAAGTACAAGCCATAGCTTATGTATGGATGGAGCAAACTGCTCTTCCCCTGTGCATAAAGACCAGCGTTAAAGAAATTGTGCTTCTCCTGGAGTAGTGTAAGGCATCGCCTCTTTGGAGGGTTAGTGGTTGTTAGTAGCTAAATAATGGCGCAATCTAGCCTGAGATGTATATGTGGTTAGCCTTTCTTGTAGCAACGTGAGGAGGAAATGCTGCTCTCAGATTGGTGTGGTGAATTTCAACTCTGTTGTTCTCTTTTCCCTGTATATGTGGAACTCTGAGTTCTGCTTCTGTAAGGAATGTGGAATACTGAAGATTTTGCAATTTAATGTTAAGTTCCTACAGCTTTTATGCTCTCATCCAAGTCCGGTGGAGTATTGGGTATGCAATAACTTTAGAACTGGGACATAGGTATATTACTGTGACTGGACATTCCAGTTGGGTATGCAGTTCTATCTGAGGAGGTTACAGGGAGTTTGATATTTTAATACTACTGGACTGCTTCTCAAGGCAAAGTGTTGTGAAAGAACAGGATGGAAGGAATCTCCAAGGTTGTTCAAGATGTTGGTAGAGATTTGGAGAGGGGTTTTTAAAAATAGTTGCTTCTCAGTTTGACACTATTCTGCACAGCCTGCAATTTCAAGACCTGTCAAGTTTAAAAGTGCCAAAGCTTTGATAAAAGCCTGGGATAGTATTTTTCTGTCCCACTTTCAGCTCCTCCTCCAGGTCCTCGCGCTCTGTCTAGAAGCAGCATTTAACCGCTATTGCATGGTATTTTGTTTTAAGGTTTAAAACTCCACACTTGGCTACCAGTTTGCAGGTTCTCTGCTGTGTGAATCAGCCATTTCCTGTTCATGTCTAAGGAGAGCCACTGTTTTTACACATGCCAGCTTTCACAGCAGAGGACTTATAAAGCAGTCGCTAAAAAGTTGCAGCTGATTAGAAAATAAGAAAACACAAAGGTGTCCGCTTTGGAAACGTTCAGTTGGCTGATGTAAGTCAGCATCCCCACGACCAAGAAACAGAACCTGCCACCAAGCTAACACCTCATTAGCAGTGTAATGTAAAGTTTCTGAGGGTTCGTCTATACTTAAAACGCTACAGTGGCAGCAGATGTGCTGCTTTCGCATTTCAGAGTAGGCACTACCTACGTTGACGGAAGGGGCTCTCCTGTCACGATAGGTAACCCACTTCCCTGAGAGGCAGCAGCTAGATCAACAAGAATTCTTCCATCGACCTAGCGCTGTCTACACGGGGACTTGGGTCGGCTTAACAACGCTGCTCTGGGGTGTGAATTTATTACACCCCTGAGCAACATAGTTAAACAGGCCTAATTTTCCAGTGTAGACCAGCCTACGGCGATATCTACATGTAAAGTGCTACAGTCGCAGCACTGCAGTCTAGACCCTCACTACAACAATAGACGGGGGTTCTCCTGTCCCTGTCGTTAATCTGCCTCGTCTCCGAGAGGCGGTTGCTAAGTCGATGGAAGAATCATTCCTTCTGTTGACCTAGCACTGTCTCCACCAGGGGTTAGGTCAGGGGTTCTCAAACTGGGGGTCGGGACCCCTCAGGGGGTCATGAGGTTATTACATGGGGGGTCGCGAGCTGTCAACCTCCACCCCAACCCCGCTTTGCCTCCAGCATTTATAGTGGTGTTAACTATATTAAAAGGTGTTTTTAATTTATAAGGGGGGGTCGCACTCAAAGGCTTGCTATGAGAAAGGGGTCACCAGGAAAAAGTTTGAGAACCACTGGGTTAGGTCATCATAGCTTCGTCTCTCAGCACAAATCCCACTCACAAACATCAGGATTTATTCAGAGTCCTTCCATGTCACACTTTTAAAACATATCCCTTTAGTTTTAAATCATAACGGGTAGCTGTTTTCAGCTATATGTACCAAAGGTAACCACTTACAAACAGTTAAAAAAAAGTAAAATGCCAGAATATGATGTCATTTCAGCCTAAATGAGAGGGGAATTTAATGGTAAATTTATGTTCTGTTAACATGATTCTCACATTGTTAAACATCCAGTCGCAAAATCATCCTTATTGAAGTCACACCTCTTTGGAGCTTTATTTCGTTTTAATTAGGGTGTCAGGTGTTTAGTTTAAGCTGGAATTTATCTCACAAAACCTTCTTCTCCGTCCAGCCCAGCACAACCCTTCTACCCCTAAAACGCTTTCATTTTCCCCCACCAGTTGCCCTTTCATATGTCATCTGAACACAGTATTCCTTGTTAATTTCACACTGAGCAGTGGCATAAAAGAAAAAATTGCGAAGCCAGTACCTGGACAATGGAAGTTTGTACCATATTTCTTAAACTACCTTTCTCTTTAAAGATACCCTATGATTTATCAGCAATAAAGTAAAAATATAATTCAAAGGGACCTCTTTCCAAATATAATATAAAAGGACTCTTTTCAAGGATGACGATTTAATATTTGTACACCTCCCATTATTGTAGTAGCTATGTCTGAGCTCCAGGTGACACTGATTTTCCTTATATTTGCAGAGTCCAGTTACTTTTTAATATTTTTTCTTTCTAAAGTCTTCCATACATAATTCAGAATTAAGGAAGAGAGATAAAATGGACCTCTGTATTGAGAAGAGTGCCCAGCCTCTGAAGTTGGGAAGGAGTGAGTGAGCGAGCGATATTAGAGAGACGAGAGGGGTGAGGTAATATCTCCTAGTGGACGAACTTCTGTTGGTGAAAGAGACACACTTGCAAGCTACACAGAGCTCTTCTTCAGATCTGGACGGAGGGATACTCAGGTGAAGGAGATAGAGCTGAGAGAGATTGCTAGGTCACCAGTCAGCTGACTCTGTTGTAACCAGTTCTCAAGAGATTTGGCCAAGCCTACCCTGCTAAACTGGGACTCCTTTTACTTTGGGACCCTCACACCGTAGAGCCTTTAATTTTCACCCTTCGCTGTAATCTGAATTTCTGTTTGCACATTGCAATGCCTTAAAACAATCAGGAACTTTCATTCTACTTCTCTATAAATGATGTTTCTCCTTATCAGAGTTCAAATGAAGGAGATGCCACTGTGTTTGTGTGATGTATAGGTGAACTTATTCTGGTAAAATCTTCTTACAGTAGTTGAGTTAATTATCTACACTCTGTCTCCCCTAATCACCAAAAGGGCTTCCTATCTTTTATGAAATCCATCTCAGTCTCTCAGCAACCCTATCAGTCTGCTAGGTCATTGGCTGCCTTCAGATCTTATGAGTTATGAGATTTCATTGTGCACAGAGTAGGAGCAGTGTATTCTAGGTCACCCCTAGCCCAACAATGCAAGTGAAATTTCATTAGACCAGCTGGCCAGAGCCCAGCAAAATTTCAGGCTTGAGACCCCTGTTGTTGGAACACTACCAAAGGCAGGGGACCTTTCACGGGTCAGGGAACCGATTTTCTGAAAGTTCAGTGAGAAAGCATTTCCAGGTGTATTCAAATTAAGACTCAGATATAGAGCACAGCCCTGTTGCGACTGCAGTGAGGTACAGTATTGAATTTCCTTCTGAAAAAAGCAACCTGCTTCTCTGCCAGGAAATGTTGGTCTGCTTTGACAGGTATTTAGTTGGGGTGGTATGACACTACTGACTGCCAACCAGCTGTACTGTTATCCATCTGGATGTTTGTATAAAAATGAGGACATCTTGTGGCCACTTAGAAACCCTTCCAGGATTGTATTTCTTATACTTTTTGCAGGGACTATGTCGGATGGGCAAGTCAGCATTCTAAAAGCAAGTGTCCATCAAATCCCTCAACTACCTGCTGCCTTCATAACAACTCTATAGTACTGTGAACAATGGACAATTTTATAGCGCACATGTTCAGCAATACTTTAGCCCTACAGATAAGTTAAGAACACGCTTAATTATTTTCTCTTAAAGCTAGCATGATTTTAACAATTAAAAAAATAATTACTGTAATTTATAGCAACAGTGGTGGCCCTTTTAAACACCTACCAACTAAAATAAATGGCTACGGTTAGCTCATTATCTACAGTATTCCTCTCCTACTTGCCTATATTTACTGTAGGTAATACTTTTATTACTCTAAACTGTGGGGTTATCCAACTGCAAATATTGACTTAGTTATCTAAGGCAATTGGCAAATTTTCAAGGGTCACCTTTATATTATGTAGTTAACAAGTCATTTGGTCTTGAAAATGATTGTTTTGCACCTAGATTTCAGAGACAGGATAGGGTGCTTAGTTTCATGTTTGTCTTTGAGCTTCAACATGAATTCCCTAGAGTCTGATAGGTTTTCAAGGCTATGGGGTATTGTTTATCCTTGTTACCTTACATTATCACAAAAGATATGCAAATAGTGTCAATGTAACTGAGAGAGACAGTGGCTAAGCACACAGGTGTTTGGAAGACTGATTGATTAACAGGGACCTTTCTCAGGAAGAGGTGAAAGTATTTGTAAGAACTTCATATGTCTATACTTGTAAAGATTGTTAACTCACAACCTGTTGAAACTTTAACCCTCTTTCTGCTGTGGGGATTCAAAATAGGTTTTCAAAACAGAATTTCAAAGCTGCTTAGTTTCGAGACAAATTGAGCCTCATTTTAAAAATTGACACGATGCATTTGCACATGCAAAATGCATGAAGTTACTGCAGTCGTGCATACCCATAGGGTAGTTGCATACGAAAAAAAATTGGACTTCACTGGGCATGTACACAATGCAATCAAAGTAA